CGAATTTTGAACTTAAGAAGGCGTAAATGAAAATTTTTGGGATAGGGATTCTATCAGATTTGTTCTTTTTGAGTTCTGAATCAGAATTGCAAGCTGCAATTTCTACACATTTACTTTTTTTTAGAAATTCTATACTTTAAGAAAAAAGGACCCTAAATTTCCTAAAACAAAAACAAGTATGGTAATCGAATAGTCAGAACGGACATTCTTCATTTAGTTACATGAGGATGTTCTTCAATATCCTCTCAACGAGAACGACCAACATTTTGCGTTTATCAATTTATAGCTCTGAAAATTTGTTTCGAAGTTTAGAAAGCATCAGTCGATTTGCCGACAGATATGTACGCTCAGCATTGGGTTTGACCAAAGTTTCTTTTTTGGAAATCCTTAAACTTTTGTCGGGGTGGTACCAAACTGGTCTAGGTTAGGTTGGACCATATGTCAACCTAGCCTAGACCAGTTTAAAGTATTAAGATGTGTCAAGTGAGATTTGGATGGTTGGATGTGTTACAGTGTGAATAAATCCAGGGAAAAAATTGAATATTACAGTCTGCATTAAATAAAAGAGCCTCCGCCTTTGACCTTCACCGAACATTTTTCGCGAAGTGGTATTCAAAATTACAAGTAACAGCTTATACCAGAAAATACGCATGACGTCCATGAAAATATTTCAAAAATAAAAAATTATATTAATGCGGAAAAATTGAACCATGTAGAAGTTTACTGAATAGGATTCAATGCGCGTATGGAGTCGTCACTTTTCTTTTGGTTCTTATGAGGACGTGCACAAAAATGCATTTCTTAAGCATTTCGAGAGGGTGTAAAATATATAAAAATATCAGTAAAATACACAATTCGGAGGGAATTGGGGCGTCCCTGGTTTGTGTAGATTAGTGCAACAAATTTTCATGACTGCAGTACAGGGTTGCCCATATTCGACGGACATTTGGGCCCATTCCAATCGACGAGGCTTGTCCGCAGGCAACATTCTTTGCGTCAATTGAATTTTGTACGGGAACAAATGCCATGCCCAACTGCTGAGAACGGCGTTTTTGGGATGTTCTTGGCTCGTACGGCAGCGATATTCTCGGCCGATCGCCTTGGTCGACTTTTATATGGCCACTTCGGATTAGAACGAGCCTTACCAGTCGAAAATTTTTCGTATAAACGTTTAATGGTGTTCTTAGAAGGCGCACCTCTCACATTTTTTAATGTTTTAAAAGCACATTGAGTTTTCACAATTGACTTCTTGTAAATTTCAACTATTTCAGAGCGCTCGCGTTGCGTGTATTGGTTCATGGTAAAAATCTGCTTGGACTGACGCTTCAAACGCGGTATGTCATTAAGCGATGTGACATCTCTGTCAAAAGTTATGGCGTTGCCAGATGGGTCCGTCGAATATGAACAACCCTGTACGATTAAAGAAACATAAGTATATAATCTACAAGAACCTATTTAAATCGCTCTTTCTTCCCAACATACTGAGATATACAGTACAATACGGTATACATCAGAGGGCTGCAATGAGTATGATTGAGTAAGCTTGATCACACACAGTGGAAACACAATCAAATTCAATCAGTCGGTCAGATGTAACATGTTCATTCGAGTTGTTCTACCCAAACGAATAAGTTGTGATCAAACATGTATTGATCGAAGTTTTGTGTTCGCAATCAAACAGCTCACATGAGTTATTTGTTTACGAACTTATGTTGAATTGTTCATAACGGGTCGATCATCTATGATGAGTCTGATCGGTTTGATTTATCCTAGTTAAGTGAGTGATTTGATTTGATTTGATTAGAACAAAAATGTTTGAATGTGAGCGAAATCATGATTATAATTTTACTAAGGATTTCGCAACTAAAAGCTGTCCCCATTAAAGAAATTGGTACAAATTATATTTAATAAACATACAATTTTTTTATTTTATTTGGGTTTTTGGTATGCTAGACTTCAGTAACTTATTTGAAAAAAAAAAAAAAAAAAAAATAAAAAACAAAATTAATCTATATATATATATATATATATATATATATATATATATATATATATATATATATATATATATATATATATATATATATAAATGTAAGTTGTGTTAGTTACTACGCTTATAACTTAGGAACCGCTGGACTGATTTTAACGATTCACACAAATTCGCAATTGTCTCATCTCCGAATAGGATAATATCCAAAAAAATCGCGTAAAAATGTGATATATTAAAATTTTCATTTTGACTTTTCAAATTTACAATAGTAATGTTTTATTTTGCATGATTTTTTTCATTTTGACTCACTTTTTTCTAATGTACATTTGTAGTGCTTTTTATATTTTATTTTTGAATTCGAATATTAATACCAAATTATTTAATTGACTTGATTTCTTGAGAACTGAAATTGATGGTGGGTTACATGGAAGTGTAGTACCGAATTATGTGGTGGCGAAACGGAATAGATGATATCGAAACAATTTAATGCGGTAACACCAAAGTTAAAAGATAATTACTTTTTCAAAATCGCTAAAAAATCACGAAAAAGAGATCTCATTACAAAAATTCTCAAATCGGGAAAATATAAAAAAAAATCAATGGAATTGAATTTTAAAATAAAAGTACATTCTATTGACAAACTTTGTAAGGATCTTTAAAAAGTTGCTGTAAAAAATCAGCGAACAAGTTGAAGATTATTTTAATTTGTTATTCTTCTTTTGTCAATTTGTATTATCATATTGAATTCAGTGGATTTTTTGTGAACAAAATAAAGAATAATTTTTCACTATATACAATTTTCACCAAAAAAATTAAATAAGTGCAAAATACGATGTCAACTGACATCTACCTTTCAACTCCAAGGCCTACATCGTGCTTCAGCTGGAAGATGCGCACACATTTAAACAAACAAAATTGACCGAAAAAGACTAATGGGGCTCATTTCAAAACGTGGACCTATTTCTTTCATGTGACAATAATCCGTCCAATGACAGCTCAAAATGCAAACTTTTTTGGGAGTACAATCAGTAAAATACCAAATATAAAGGGTGTAAAATAGTAGATCGAATGGGACTTTTAGTAGGAAAAGGATTTCCATCTTTCCAGAAATTCTTCCCGAACATTCAAGATAGCTTAAATCGCCTTTGCAGGTCATGATATCGGTCATATATAACCATCGTATGATTTAAGCTATTTTTGGGGTTTTCGCCACTTTTTTCTATTTTTGGCCTTTATTTGGCATCTTTGTTTCTAAGGGAGTAGAGAACCTCTTCGCATAAAATTTGACATTTTTGGAGTAGGGCCCATATTGGTCTTGATCACATTCATCAATTGATTTGGCTAAAAATTGTATTTTTGCTACCCTGGGGTAAGGAACCTTCATACAGATAATTGCCGCATAGAAATTAATTTAAGTAAAGTCCCCACATTGATGTATCCCCAAGTCCACTTTCACATCTAATGTGTGGTCAGAAAAGAAAATTTTGTATTCTATTGAAGAGAATATTGGTTGGGAACGTAAGTTTGGGGTGTACATCTATATCAAATAAATTGTGAAAACATGAACAAATTACAAATATAAGAAAGTAGCACGGGACCGAATATTTGTTGAATCGTCATTGAATAATACTATGATGAAAAATATGGACTTTCTGGGGTCTCCAATTTACAATTTAAATGACAAATAAAATTAGTTCCTATCTTACGGTAATGGGTGTAAAATAGTAATTATATTTGACTATTCTGAAATCAGTCTGCCCTCAATTACGTGGTGGATCAAACTATTTTTACTTATTTAAATCACGTGAATTTTTTTCAGTTTGACATGCTATGTTGTTCTGCTATATTTTTGATTTGGCCTCTATTTGTCATCTTTGATTATATATAAATGTACCTCTTGATTTTACCACATTTCAAAGGATTTGGCTAAAAATGTGTATTTGGGGGGTGAAAATCTTACACAAAAATTTCAACATATCTACAAATTTTAGAAATTTCTCCATGTAATAGTAACCCCTAAAGTAAAAACAGACCGACATGATTAGGGGAACTTATGAGGACTCTAATGCACAATCTGAGGTGCTAATGGGTTTAAAAAAGTAATTAACTTTGGCTATTCTTAAATCATTAAGCACTCAATTATGAGGTGTACAAAATACAGTAAATTCCAAATTACTGCTCATTTGACGGGAAAATTTTGCTACGATTTTTATCAGACTAAAAATTAATTTGATCCCTTACATGGGGATAAGATTGATATATACTTTTTAATAGATTTGTATAGGCCATCCACACATTTGAAGCCCACGGCTTAAATATGGGTATAGGTATTTTAAAACACTTTTAATCGACCAGTACGTCAACACTTATATCAGTCATATCTGTGAATAATAATGCTTTGACAAATATGCATAATAGACAAAATCTACGGGCCGGCAACGCGGACCGGGCCAGCTAGTATTTTTAGTAAAGCAACACATCATTCGTATTTAGTGAACTAAAAACGTTTAAATATTTTTTTATTTTACAATATTGGTCAAGATTTTTCACAAACTTTGACCTTTTCGTTTACCTACACGTGTGTAGTTTCTACTTGTAACAATTTCGGTCGCACTATCACAATATTCTTCCATTTCAAATATAAAAAAAGTCAAAATAAACTGTCCCAACTTGATTGAATGGTTGAATAAACAATGACGCTGAGCGAACTCGATTCAAAGAAGACAATCACGGTTGTGGTTGCTCATTTACATTCATGTGTTCGATCAACTCATGTTGCTGAACACATCAAACCGTCTCGAACACTCATGTTTGATTGTGAGTGAACGAAAACGACTGCATCAACAAAAATCATGTAAGAAACCGAGTGTGCTTGAATTTTTGCATACTCGTTGCAGCCCTCTGGTATACATGACTCTTTTTGCGTGAGTTTGTAGGTGGGCTATGCGGTATAGGCTTTGGTAAGGTAAGGTCTGATTTTATTCATATACCGCATTACGAATACACTTACCTTGCACGAACAGCTGATAGACAATGTGGTCTGAACCTATGGCATTTCTCACAACACAGGAATAATTGCCCTCGTGTGACCTCTGAATGCTACGCAGTGTCAGTGTATTGTCGTTGCTAACTTCCAGGCGGAAATGTTTTTTTGCCCGAGCGTTTAGAACTTTCCACTCGGCATTGGGTTTCGGCGATCCTACAAATAAACAAGGCAACTTCATGTCAACCCTCCAACTGACGCTCAGAGTTTGACTAAAGGAGATAATAGCAGCCGGCACCGTAGAGCTGGGCACCAGTTTAATAACGGGCGTACTGGGGCCCTGACCGACCCTGGTCGAAGCAGTCACCCATGCTTCGTATGTTTCTCGTGTCGATAAGTCTTTGGCCTCGAAATGCCGGTTCTGTGATGGCAGCACTTCCTTGAGAATTTTCAACTCCTGGCCTTTGTCGAGAATGCGTATGTAGACTGTGTACTTGGTGACAACGCCATTGGGTCGCCTCGGTGGCAACCAGCTTATAATGACAGACGACTCGGAGTTGACAACAGACTTGACTCTTTCGGGTGCATCGGGCACGGCTTCTTCCGTTATGCACGACACCGTTGCACTGACAACACCCTCGCCGGCTCGGGTAAATGCTAAAACCTGAACGCTGTAGTTCGTAAAGGGTTGTAGGCCGTGCAGGACTGTGCTCAGAGCCGATGTGATTTTAGTTTCTCTGCTTCCATATTCGGAATCGAAATTCCCGGGCTCATATAGAACTTTGTATCCTTGGATGACACCATGATGGTTTTCCTTGGGCGGTGGTTGCCAGGAGATTTGTATGTTTTGAGCTGTCAACGCAATACAGGTCACCGATTGCGGAGGCGCAGATGGCGCATCCTCCAAGGTATGGCCCAATGCCACCTCACTGGGCGGACCATCACCTTTGACATTGAACGCAGACACAGTGACGGCATACTGTGTGTATTTCTCCAAACCGGTCAGGCGAAAGTCATTTAAGCCTTCGCCACCAAGACTGCTCACTTTCGTGAAATTCTGAAAGCTATCGGTAGAGCCGTGTTTCTGATAAGCTATGGTGTAGCCCAAAAGTTCTCCATTCCATGTATCCCGTTCGGGAGGTCGCCACGTTATCAACAGTTGCTGTGGTCCCAAGGGTTCGGCCGACACATCTTGGGGTCTGCCGCTCGGTGCCTCGGCATCAGTTTGCAGAAGTAAAATATCACTGGGAGCGCTGGTGCCCAAATGATTTTCCGCATACAAGCGAAAATGATAAGCTTGCGCCGGGCGCAGGGATCCAATTTGCGCTGTGGTCTTATCGCCAGGAAGAAGCTTTTGATTGTTGCCCTCATGCCACACATCTACGAGTGAAAGAAAAATATTATATCGTAGAGCGTTAAAAAAGATAGCTGAAGTAACTTACCGCCTGCCTTCTTATACTGTAGTATATAGTTCGAAATCGGCTGGGAGTCTCGATTGTTTCCGCCCAAAGACACCGTATCTTGATCGTTAGGTGACCAGGCCAATGTCACCGAACGACTTCCCAGATCGGTGACGTGTAAATTCACCGGAAAGTTTGGTGGTTCTTGAACCTGTAAATGGATAACAGCCCGATCATGTCCGTATGCATTGCTCGCAATACATGTGTATTCGCCGCGGTCACTTAGGATTGTCTGGAGGATTGTCAGTTCAGACACCACACCTCTGCTCAGGGGAGAATCTTTGACATGGTAGCGAACATCAAATGAAGGATCAATCCGGTTGGCCTTGGCTCGCCAAGACACATCGAGTGGCTGGTCACCATCAGCCTCGCATCTGAGTGTTACACGATCACCTCTTCGGACTGTCACCTGCTTTTTGGACACGGTCACAGTGGGTCCCACTAAACACAAACGAAACAATAATTAGACAATGCATATGGTTCAAACGACTTTGGATTTACCATGAACGGTCACCTTAATGAGTTGACTCAAGCCCGCACCGATACCATTGTTAGCTTGACACAAATAGCTACCTTCATGTTCCCGGCCGACTTTCGGAATGATCAGCGATCCGTTGCTGTGCGTTTCTATCAACGCCTTTGAATTGCCACCTCCCATGCTGTAGCTCAGTTCGCGATACTCCCCCGAGTCACCTAGATGTGGAGACCACATGTCAATTAAACGACTGGCAACATCCTTGCTTCGACTCTTACCAATTGATTGCTTCCATTGCAGCGTTGGTATCGGAAATCCGTCGGCCTGGCATTTTAGAATAATCGGATTACCAAGTATGGCGTCTTGATCCGTAGGCTTGATGATCCAACGGGGTGGCACTGTTGCAAATTTGTTGTTAAATATTATTTTAAGAAAAGGTGCGATTTCTCATGGCAACGAAAACAGTGCTCAAAGTCAACATGCGGACTACTTCTACAGTCAAATCGGCAGTCGGCAATACAAATTTTGCAGTGTAACATATGAATATATATATATTAACATTAAATTTTTTACAAACATCGATAATTTAAAACGAAAAGGGTTGAACGGAAATTGAGGCGAAACTAAATGAAACCAAAAGGCGAAGAGAAAGTGAAGTAAATGAAAAACACAGACAGGTACAGTGTAACAACGATAGGCATTGGGTAAAGATACATAGATAGATAGATAGATAGATGGATAGATTGATATGTAGATACAGATGCAGTTTTACAAAGTGCTCATCTATGGGTTGCATGTCTCAGTGATTCAATACGAGGTGCTCTGTGATGGTGCTCGATCCGTGCTGCGTGCGTGGTGGTGGCTTTGTGCTCTCCATTTGCTGTGTGCAACATTGCGGCCATTCGTTGGTCATTCCTGTCAACGCAGCGTGATTGACTTTCTGTTCTAAACTCCAGACGGATTCGACAAACGGTTATTTTATAGTTATTATACAGTCCAACAAAATGTCCCATTTTTAATATCTGTGGGTGATATAATCGATTTTGGCCATAATAGGAACCCCAAAGCACAGATTCGCCATGAGTCCCACTTTTGTGTTATGCGGTGATGCATTTTTTGCTGTGATTCTATAGTACTAGTTAATTCCAATCAGGCTTATTTTCGTAGACCATTTCGACCTTCAATGTGTGTGTGTGTATGACTAGTGCATGTCAGGGCATGTTTCTAAGTAAATGACAGCAAAACCTAACATTCCAAATATTGTTGATCATATTTTTGAGTCAATTCAAATATAAAAGCTCCTTTTTAACATATTTCTTGTGCTTCCCACAGTTCTGAGAGCATGATTCTCCACGACGATACTAACTGGAATGCGAAAGAAAAACACTTTTCGTATTGAAATCCTTATCTTAACAGAGAAAAAGAGCATAACGAACGGCGAGAGAGAGGCACACACAAATATGTATATATTAAAGGGGTTTCAGCTATCCTGGACTTTGCAATACGACTTATCCGAAGTTTTGAATATGAAAACCGTTTTCAATTTCCGGCTCAAAAATTCAAATTAAATGGATTGCCATATTCGAATGGTACACTTGGTGTTTTAAAAAATATTGCTAACTTGCTATGCGACTTCGAGTGACTGCCGTCGCACAGTGAGGAGAGATACCTCTAGTATGTTTGTTATTAAAATCTAGCATATCAGTCGACGTTTCCTGATTTTCGATATTTTGTATGGTTTAATAATAATTGTTATCATGCCATATCATTTGACATTTAAACCGTATATTTTTATGAGAGAGGAATAATAATAAAAATATATAAAAAATTGGGTGGCAATTTCGCCATCATACCTGAAATAGACGAAGGCTTTCGTTTCAATATATTTTTATTAAAAGGATATGTAGCTGATGTTAATAAGTCGTAATTATCGTGACCCTCCTTAAAGCTCTCTCATTGTCTTAAATTGGATCATCAGCCAAAATTTAAGTTGAGGCAAGTAATTCCACCACTGATTCGTGAAGGGACTCAATCTTTTGTTATAAAGTTTAGATTTTCCACACACAAGAGGAAAACAACTCCAGAGAAACCTACACAATAAGAAGAACAGCTATTTAAATACATCTTAGAGAGTCACAGGAAATACTTCTTCAAGGAATAACCCTCAAGTTCGACTTGTGGCTAATCTGTACTGTGGGCATTCGAATCAACTTATTAAAGGTTTTTATAACCATTATCAATTTAGATTACGAAATGCTTTCTATTATTTAATATTCTCACTAGAACACTGTGGAAGGTAATACGGACTTGCAAGCCACGTCTAATGGGGTTGTAAAAGTTTTATTCTTTAAACTAAATAGGTCCTCATGTAAAGAGTTAGAGAAGCTCTCATTTAGGGAACATTCAGAAAAAGAAAATTCTATTATGTTTTATTTACTCAATATTTTCTGGTAATTATTGCTAAAGAATGTCGTCTGGTAACTCCAATTCCTGTGAAAGAAATCGGATTAAGAGATGAATGTTGATAATTCTATATCTGGAATTCAAGAAAAGCTAAATTTTGGTTTTACCTTTACACATGGATTCTTAAAAGGCTTCAAAGATCCCATGTGTGGAAAAAAGTGTTAGCTAGAAACGGTCGACTTTATCAAGCAAATTAGAAGATCAGAAAATTCTTTACAAAAATGGAATCGATGAGAATTTTCAACACTACTTGCAACGGCTATTTCGAATTTTTGGGAATTTAGGAAATTTGCCTTCTATATTCATCCTATTCTGACTACTTCATGAAATGTGTTGTATTCATATCATACACCTTTGTAGTTGTAATTCGGATAAATTTAAAACTCGTTGGCAATTCGAGAATTCCATTTGTAATTCGAATTATTTCAGTTGTAATTCGATTGTTGCATTTGTAATTCGAATTATTGCAATATATTTTGTAATTCAAATAATTGAAATATTTTCTTCGATTTTAAATGGAACAAATGGAATATTTCGAATTAGAAACCGAATAATTCGAATTACAATTGGAAGGATTCGAATTACAAATGCAATATTTATTTTCACTGACTTAAAGATTCATCAATGCCCAGACGAAACGGTTGAAGCTAGAATCTTGAAATTTTGGGTGAGGGCCACTCTTTGTGCGAAGGGGCCAGATAAGGCTGCGTTTTTGGAAATTCATACTAACACCTACAAAAATTATAAAAATGTACCCTTGTATTTGAGCAACCAGTAGAGCTAGAACTCTTAAATTTGGAATGAGAGTCACTGATGGAGTGTCTAATAGATGTACTGAAGGGTTCTTGAAAATTCGCACTATAAGCGTACAAAACAGACTAATATGTACTATATTTAGTATCACTTCGTATCATGTGAACGGTTAGTGTTAAAAAATTTAAATTTGGAATAGGAATCAAGGTTGAGGAGTAGTAGGAGGTAGTTTTGGAAATGTGTACTGATGTATACGAAAAGTACTAAACGGTAAGAAATTTAGTACAATTTGAATATGGAAGAAGGGTGGCGGAGTGTAGCATTGGAGGTAGTTTTAGAAATGTTTACTTATGTACACGAAAAGTACCAAATGGTACTAAATTTGGCACAATTTTGATTGGGGCGAAACGATAGAGCTGAAATTCTGAAATTTAGAAAAAAGGTTATTATTCCATTCTAGAACTGAGGAAGGAAATTGGTGCTTATTTGTACTAAATCTGGTACAATATAACTTTGGGAAAAGCAATAGAGTTGGAATCCTGAAATTTGGAAATAAGATTTGGAATAAGATTATGTAGGTATTTTTGGAAATTCGTACTTATGTGTACTAAACGGTACTATTTTTGATATTTTGTGAACAGATCGTGCTTGATATCTGAAATTTTATATTAGGGTCGCTGTTCATGTGGAGGTGGTTTCGAATATGTGATCTATAATTTTACGAAACAAGTAGAGATAAAATTCTGAAATTTAATATCTAGATTACTGTTGGTATCTGTGTTTTTGAGATTTGGCGGTGATTTGGAAATGCGTACTTTATTTGTACGAAAAGTACTAAATGGTTCTAAATTTAGTATTGGATGAGATTAGAACCGGAATTCTCAAATTTGATATTGAAGTCTCTGTTGATATCTGGAATTGAGATTTGGAGGTGGTTTTGGCATGTTTTCAATAATTGTACGAAAAATACTAAATACTAAGTAGTATATCTTGGTATCTGAGGTTGGGATTTGGATGTGGGTTGGGAAATGGTTACTTTAGTTGTTCGAAAAGTACTTAATTGAACTATATTTGGTATTGGGTGAAGGGATAGAGCTGAAACCGTAAAATTTTATATTACGATAACTTTTGATGTTTAGTTCGATGGTTTTATTAATATCCTCCTCGGTTAACTTTAAAATGAAAGATTTTTTTTTTTTTTTGTAAAATGAAAACATTTTCTTCCCATTTTTCGGAGAAACGAGAAACTTGAATAATATATATTAAACCTTGAATGTCTGAAAATGTATTACGATGTATGCAGTTTTAATAAAACATTTCTGTAAAACTGAACAACTTGTGTATTTTGCGTACTAAAAATTCCCAACACGAACTTTTGGAAAGAAAATTATTTTAAAATTCTTTTAAGAATTTCTCTTTTATTGTTTAGCCCATTTATGGCAATGAACCAGAGAAAATTAAAATCAAGAGTTTCATTTGATTTTTCGTCATCACGTAATTTTCACTTTTCGTCTATTATGGAACAATTTTCAACTGACAAATATCCTATAGATCGTAGTATTTTTATCATTTTAGAATTGAGTGACTTCAATATTTTCACTCATACCCCTGAAACGATATAGACGACATCTGCTGTTCCGTGAGAGCATTTCTTCGCCCATATATTCATTTGTCTATGCTCATATGTACAAGCGGAGATGATTGTTTTCACTGAGAATATACGTGCGATTTCTTGCCTCAACTGGAATCGGTCCAATAAAGTATTCCCAATATCCAAGTCAACATTGCCATGAACCAATCGACATCCCTTATTCTGGAGAGTAGAACAAAAAGTTTCGAGAAAATTTTCTATATACAGGCGAATGAAGAAATTGCAGATTTAATCTGCGTGCCGTTGTTGTGTGAAGTGAAGGTGGGTGCCACATTGAAATAAATTGATGTTCCAATTTACCGGACACGGACAGCATTGCCGTGTATTCGACCGATCCAGCACGATTTGTGACCCGGCAGGTGTAGTTGCCGTTGTGGCGCGATGTAACATTGTGGATCGATAGAATGCTGGAAAACGGAGCATATTCGTTAATAGTCAACGAGGGATCCGGAGCCTTGTTTGTACTTCCTCCCATGCCGCCGCCATGAACGTCTTGATGATTGCCAGCCGAATTGCCACCACTATGTATGGGAGCACCGTCCTTCAGCCACGTTATATTAAATGGCTGATCGCCTTGGCTGCTAGAGCACATCAGTTGGGTCCGCATTCCTTCCGTTATTTCATCCTCGAAGCTAAAAGGCGATATACGAGGCGGAACTAGGAAATTTCAAGAGAAAGATGTCATGTGGAAAATTAACGAGAATTTAAAGGTTTCGGATTCACTTTCGGTTCGTTCGATTCGATTAGGTCATGTTCAGAGATGAAAAGGAAAACGGTAAGAAAGTCACAAAGGGATAATTGTAAAATAATGTCAACTCAATTCAATTGATAAAAACTTAAAATCAAGTGCTTTGTTATACACACATATACATTTACATAAACATGATCAATCGTGCATTACATATTGGCTAGCATGCATAATTCAGTTACTATTATCATCGGGTATGGCAAACTCAGACGTGCAGTTTTCATATACCATTAACTCTTAGCTGTGCAGAGTGCGATACAGTTGCGGCATCGTTTTGGACGCGACAGGTGTAGGTGCCGCTCTGAGCCCTCGTCACACTTGTTATGCTGAGGGCGCTGGTGAAATCATCATTTTGGCGAATTGTCACTAGGCCGCCGTCTCCTTCACCACCGCTACTACCATCGTCATTCGAATAGGTTTTCGAGCCATGGCCATGGGCATAGTTGATCGATGTCGGATGTGAGCCGGAGCCCGACGCAGCAACGTCACCGGTACCACTAATCCCACCGCTGACACTGCCGCTGTCTCGTGCATTGTGCGCAAACTGCATGCCTGCAGTCTCCGCCGGTTGAAGTGGTTTTCCATCCTTTAGCCAGGTGAATGTGAGCGGTAGGTCACCGGTGCCAATGACACATTGGATGCTAGTACGATCGCCGACATTCAGATCGCGGGCGAATGAGAATGGTGTAATCTTGGGCGGAACTAAAATTTTACATTGATAATGTCGTTTTTCTTCTACTCTTGTTTTTGTTTCGCATAGCCTAACTTAAACTTATCAAATGTATGAACTATAGAAGGACAGTTTTGGAGTTGTAACGCAACGTATGTGTAAATCAAACAAATTGCATAAGGTTATACATAAATGGGGATTCTTTTTTCTGATTGAAAATATTACCGCTTCAATTGCAAATTTCGAAAACGTTTGAAAAAAGTTAAAATCACAAAAAGAGTAAAATTATATCTCTCACAAGAGAATCGCTGTATTATTTAATAAAGGTCAAGAGTTGTGATGTCAATTTTGTGTTTGGTTTGCGAATTGACGACATATCTGATTGCAGAATTTGAACGTAAAAAGGGAACTAGTATAAAAGTGGTAGTATCCACCTACGCCAATGCGGTGAGGAGCGTCGAAAATTTCAGTGATTTTATGTGACGGGCGTTCGTCATTTTTGTATGCTTTGCGATTGGCTATGTTTAAATGAGAAAATAATTTAATTTAGAGGTAGAATAAAAAAAGACCGACAAATAGGGTCATATTTTATTTCACGAATAACTGGTGTGTGTGTGTGTGTAATTTGAAAGATCACCCGGTGCAACATAACAAATAATTAAGGGAAAAATCCAGCAGGTTATGAAAGTAGAGCTAAAAATAGAAGACACGTTTAACGGAGCTTTGTACCACCCCTATTCTGTATAATTTTGGAAAAATTTCGGATTAAGATTCCTCGGAATCCGTGTACTTCATAGTGTCTTCGGTCCTAGAAGACATCTAGTGTCTAAATCTTGCCTAAATGCCACTTATTCCTATATATTTAAAGAGGAAAAAATGAATAAAAAAAATTAGTTTTTTTGGGAACATTGATGAAAATATTTTTCGACATAAAATGGAAATAGAGATTTTTTTTGACTTATAGTATAATTTGATAAAGAATATTTTTGTCTTTTATGTCATCCTTCTACAACGTTGCTTTAGATCCGAAAATCCGAAAATTGTGTGAGCTTTTTAGATTACTCTGAAGAGTAAACTTTCAAAACGCCGATAAACGCGTTTTTTATCTACTTTCATAATCTGCTGGATTTTCCCCCTAAAAAATTGAATTTTGTCGCACAGAATTTGTCATGCACTGTTGTTGTAGACTCCCACAGTTTGGGCTTAGATATCTTCTGCTCAAACTCGTATCTTGCAAACCGTTCATAATATTACAACTTGTAGTTCTTTTCACAACGATTTATTAATTCTGAACTTATACAATCGGTAAAACATTATTAAAATTTATCTCCAAATTTGTGTTGAATCCAATACGTACGAAGTAAGCAACATGCTGGATTAAACATACTATATTGTATAAAGTAATCCCATAATGACAAAGCATCATAAGTTTTTAAACTCCACATTAAAAATTCATAAAGATATACCTAACAGAGGGCTGCAACGAGTATGAAACATTAGTCATATTTGGTTTCTTCCACGTTTTTTTTTTTTGAAGCAGTCGTTTCATTCCATCTAAATGAAATGATTGTTTTCGCATCGGATAGAATCGAATCGAATATGAATGTTCGAGAGTGTTTGATTTGTTTAGCAACATGAGTTGATCGAGCACGTGAATTGAAGTGAGCAATCACAACTGTGAGTTTTTTCTATCAATCGAGTTTGCTCAGCATCATTGTTTATTCATCCATTCAATCAGATTTGGGACAGTTTATTTCAGTGTTGCCACCTCATGTGTAATTACACATATCATATGTAATTTTTTGTTGCATGTGTAGCCCATGTGTAATTAGTTAAATGTGTATTTCATGTGTAATTTGTTGTTTTACTATTTTAACACTTTTTTACAATCCTCCTTTCCCAAATGATACTACAGAAAAAATATTTAGCTGATTTTTGGAAAGGCAAGAAGTGAGTATGATTCTTATTCACTCGAGATTGTTCGACACTTATATTGCTTGTTTTTTTTACCAAAGTCGTCACATCGATAGCCTAAAAAAGCCAAGTGTACACACCCTTCGATGAATTCATGATATTGGTAACGATCAGCAATTGTTGCAAAGCTGTCTGTTTCGTTTTGAAAATCACTACCCCAGACTTACGCAAGCTAATATTTAGTACTTTAAATAATAGCAAAATTATATAATTATACATAATTATATTTTTTAGCGATAATTTGATATAAAATGAATTTATGTTTATTTTTGGCCTACTAACAACTATTTTTGTTAAAAAAATAACTTTTATCAAAAAAAAAAAAAAAATATTGATACATGTGTAATATTTTAGCCCTCCGTGTGTAACATGCAGTTTCCTTGGTGGCAACACTGCTTTTATTGTGGCTTTTTTAATATTTTAAATGGAACAATGTTGTAATGGTCCAACCGAAAGTGTTGGAAGTTATGTTAAACATTTGGTGTTTATTAAATACCACTGCTGTGTTTCTTTATTAAAATTAATGATTTTTTTTTCTAGAAATAAGTCATCAAAAATTGTCCGTATATTAAATCTAATTTGTACCAATTTCATTAATGGGGAGTGTTTTAACCAAATGAAGTCACTCAATTAACTAATTGGAATCAAACCGATGAAACAAATCACTCATGTGAGCTCTTTGATCAATTCATGTTACTTCTAACCGACTGGTTGAGTTTGAATGTATTTCCACAAAGTGATCAAGCCTACTCAATCATACTCATTGCAGCCATCTGATATCTAATATATATATATATATATATTTTCACACGTGGAAGATGACTTACTGGAATTTTGAGGGTACTAGAACAGTGTTACAAATTATTTATAAAGCAAATTATTGAATATACCTAAACGTATATAAAAGATCCAAAACCCAAAACGACAAGATTAAATGAGTGACACGAAAACATATAATAAATAAACGACCACTTTACTTGTACTTTTGTTATTATGGATACCCAAGTTTGGCGCCTCGTTATCAAACATGTTCCATATATATATATATATATATATATATATATATATATATATATATATATATATATATATATATATATATAAAGACCCACAAGACCTTTTCGCCCTTAAGAGAATAAAAAACTATTATGCAGAGGATGTTGGAAGATATGCAACATGAAAAAATTCCAAGACATTTTAAAGCAGGGCCACATCGGCACTAAGATGTCTATTACTCGGAAAAGACTAGCATATATATTTTCATTTTGAATGCAATGTTGGAACTTTTAACAATATGTTTTCCTTTCTTAATTAAAAAGACCGCATACCAAATCAGTAGACTTATAGGCATCTCATATTTTTCAAAAGAGCAGTGGACTTGAGTTTAATTCAAAAATTCACAAAAAGTTCATCAGACACAAAAACTACGGGCAACATTCTATGGAATGATAAATTCTTCACGAGAGCAACATTCTTAAAGGTTGTGAAATGTAGAATAGTATTCACACAGTCGAATATCCAGTCTGGTTATCCAACAAGTTGTACCAATTCATTCAAATTGTTACTGAAGGTCGTCTATTAACACAAGAAAAAAATAGGGTATGCTAGAAAATTGGCCAATCTGATTTCTGAAATTAGGATTATTTTATTGCCGCAACCTCTGCAGTGACTGCAATCTTAAAGCCGTAGATGTGTCAATTACTGACGAACCTGGTCTCTGAATAACACAACTGTCTCGTGTCAGTCGTTAACAACATTCCATTGTCCCACTTTTTCCAGTCCAGACAACATTTGTGTTACAATGATGAACGCCACCGGAAACTGATACAAAAGTTTACTTGCGGCAAGAACCGATGTTGGTCATTATCAGGCGGGATTAAACGATTACAGCAAATAAATAATTATGCCGGCAAAGTAGAACACGATTTTGGCTCTTGTGGATTTTTCGCATATATACATGTGCGTATGTACTTGTTTGTGGCCAAGTACGAATGTGTGCATGTGCGTGTTCGTGTAATGTGCATGTGTATTGATAAATTGACCACAGGTGATTTGTCGTTTTTAGCCAACCGCAAAGTACATGTTAATGTTTGGCACGAGGCAGGACGACCGCATGCCACATAAAGCAATGCCCCATAATGAGGATTTACGCGAATTCGGATTAATATTTCGTACCAAACCAAACAAACAACTGTGGCGGGCGCCGCACCTAGCGCCGCGTTCAAATGCAAGAGTGCAGTTAAAGGAAAGGGAAGGAAACATGTG